AAAAAAAAAGAGGTGTACTGTTTTCCTACACTGTAAATTTCCTGTTTAAGCGGGGCCCACAGGTTCTCAATAGGGTTTGTGTCCAGTGAGGAAGGAGGCCATGTCACTACTTTTCATCCTTAAGGCCTTTACTGGCTAGCCATGCAGTGGAATATTTTGATGCATGCGATGGAGCATTGTCCTGCATAAAAATCACGGTCTTCTTTAGAGATGCAGACTTTTTCCTGCTTCCTGATTTTTTCATGCTTGAAGAAAGTGTCTTCTAAAATCTGGCAGTAGGTTTTGTAGTTGATTTTGAGGCCATCTTCAATCCGAAAAGGTCTGACTAGCTCATCTTTAATAATACCAGCCCATACCAGTACCCCACCTCCATCTTGCTGGCATCTGAGTGGAAGTTGAGCTCTGTGACCGTTACTGATCCAGCCACGGACCCATCCATCTGGTCCATCAAGAGTCACTCTCACCTCATCAGTCCATAAAACCTTTGAAAAATTTGTCTTCAGATATTTCTTGGCCAAGTCTCGACATTTCAACTTGCATGTTTTGTTCAGTGATGGTGGGGTTTCAGCTTTCCTTGCCTTGGCCATGTCTCTAAGCACTGAACACCTTGTACTTCTAGACACTCTGGGTAGGTTGCAGTTCTGAAATATGGCAGCAGTGTAGGATAATGGGTTCCTGGTATCTTCACGTTTGATTCTTCTCAAATCTTTGGCACTTAATTTGCGTCTTTTTTTCTTAATACGTTTCTTGCGACCCTGTTTGCTGTTTGCAACAAAACATTTGATGGTTCTGTGGTCACGCCCCAATATCTTAGCAATTTCAAGTGTGCTGCCTTCCTCTGAAGGACCTTTTACAATTTTTGACTTTACAGAGTACTTTAAAACTCTTTTTTGGCCCATTTTGCCTGAGGAAGAGAAGCTGCCTGAAAATTATGTACACCTTTATATAGAGTGTTGATCTCCGTAGGCCACACCCTCACTCATTAAGCAAATACACAAATGCTTAAATCCAATAAGCACTCAAGTTTATACAGCTTGAAGTTGGAAAATATGCATAAGAATTATGATATTGCGAAAATACTCATTTGCATAATAACTGCACACAGTGTGTATATATATCACTCCAATTTGTTATTTATTCCTGCTACTATTTACATCTTATTCCAGCACAGTTGGTGTGGAGCACCCACAATTTCTTTACATATGTTAAATGATAATAAAGGGCTACTCCATTTTACTCTAGTTATGCAAATTGGAATGGTCAAGCAGAAAATGTTCTAAAAATCACTGAAGAGATGGAAAGACCCAAATAAAACATCTTAAAAATTAACAATGCATTCAGACACGGTCAAGACAACCTTAAAGATTAACCTTAAAGAAGAGAGGTGATTTAAGTGACTGTAAACAGTGTGTGGGCAGACAGGCTATTTGAGTATTTCAGAAATCGGTGATCTACCAAGATTTTCGAACACAACTATCTAAAAGATCCTTAAATTGCTGTTGCCTCACAACAAGAAGGTCCTGAGTTAAAGTCCAGCACCTGGCCAGGGTCTTTCTGTGCGGAGTTTGCATGGGTTCTCTCCGGGTACTCCGGCTTCCCCCCACAGTCTAAAAGTTAGTGGGTCACTCTAAATTGACCATAGGTATGAATGTGAGTGCAAATGGTTGCCTGTCTCTAAGTGTTCGCCCTGTGACAGACTGGCGACTTGTCCAGGGTTTACCCTGCCTCTCACCCTAAGACAGCTGAGATAGGCTCCAGCCCCCTGTGACCCTGACAAGGAGAATGAATACATGCTTAAATTAGCACTGCATACACTTGTATGTGGAACAATCACTGTCTTCTGTACACTGTCATCAATAAATTACTAACTTGTTACAATACGATGTTCTGCTGGAAACCACGGTTTCTCCACAACAGCACCAACATGCCTAGCAGGACAATAGCTACTTGACACAGTCCTCAGGAATAGCTTGACGAGGGCTTTATAGGGGACATCAAATGCTACACATATAAAGGTTAATTTACATCATGGATCTCTGTTCTCAAAAACTGAAACAGATGTAACACTGCCTGTCAAGTTGGATTTAAAATCACGTTTAGAGCCATCTACTGTCAGTACGGGACATGATGTCACGTGGTTGGTTGGCTGGTTGCAGCTAATAGACTTAAATTTGTTTATGTTAGCTAACTAGTGACAGAATCGATAACTTGGAGGGAAAAACAACAACACTAAAACTAAAAATCAGTTAAAGGGGATCACACGCGGGCTCTCCCTGACTGCAACAGTGACGAGGACATACTGTCCACCTTACTGTCTGTTTCTCATAAATGAGGACTGTATGGAGGAGAGGCTGTTTGAGCCAGGTGACAGGTGATTCACCGGACTGACAGAAACTGAATTTCCCAAATTTCCCTCCTTGGCCGAGTGTACATCCACATCACACCACAAACATAGTTTCTTTCCAAAGCTCAATTGGGAATCCCATCAGCATGTCTGCAGGGAAAAGTAGACCAATGTGTATGAAGAGGGGGTAAAAAGAAAAAGAAAAGAATCTGATGTTCTGAGGACAAGAATGCACACTTTTTGGAGATCTTTTGTTTTTTTCGCCACATTATTTCACTGATGACTGATCATCTCGCTGATGATGTGGGGAAAAATAATTCCCCGTATGAAGTAAGTAAAACGACTTACTTCCTATCAGAAGTGAGGAAAACCGAATCCCAAATGTAATTGAAGGATATTGTAACATGGAGATTTCCTGCGGACATGCTGATATATATTAGAATTTCCAATAGTCATCAGTAGGAAACAGTTTTTGGTGATATACCCATGTAGTAACCTGTGATGTTGTACACTGTTTGGTTTTGCTTGGGAAAATATAGAATATATTATTGCATAAAATAGCGCTGATTGCGTGTTGCAAACATCTGCTTGGCCAGCTGATTGCAAAGCTCTGTACAATCGGATTGGTGGGGAAAAGCAGGAAAGTTGGACTCCGGCTTGTCTGGTGACTCAGGCTCTACTCTACACAATCCTCATTTATAAAGTGCTTTACAAACTCGAATATTACAGCTAACAGCTGGGTTTTGCTTTTTGAGTGCAGCTAGCTGAACAACAGACTGCCCCTTACTGCTAAAGACACGGACAGTGAAAGTGGACAGTAAGCACATTTCGTAAGTCCAGCTTCACAGACAGTGTTAAATCTATGTTGGTTCTTGAGAGTAGGGCTCAATGGTGTAAATTAGCCTTTACATTTGTAGCGTTTTATGCCCCATTTAAGTGTTGAACTGACCTCCAACCTGCCCCGATACAAGTCTGATCAAGCAGCCTTGCAGTTTACCACAACAAGCCTGATCAACACATGTCACATCCTGCAACATACATCAACAATCAAAAAGATTTGTTCAAAGTGTGTGCATGTAACTTTTATGACTAGGAGAGTAGAAAAATGCACTTACCATATTATTGACATTTTTGAGAATGGTGGTAAGACCACTGATGACAAGGGAGAACTTGTACTTGGAGATATTAATCAAACATTCCTTGTTGTGCTCTGTGCTGACTTTGGTGTGGGTGTTCTGGTGTCCAACTTTAATGGGAAGCTGAGAAAAAGAACAAAAAAACCCATAAAATTAGAGGTGAGACATTCAGTAAATAAAATATTTCTGTCGTGGCCTGACTACACCGTTCACCTAGAACATTTTGGCAGGCTTAGCCTTTAAAGCTACACACTGTATGTTGTTTATCCATCCTGCATGATGTGCTATATACTCTTCTCATTTTAATTGCTTTCCTCTGGGATGCATTCATTTAGAGATCCTCTTGTTAAAATTATGTCTCTTTTTAAACTGCCCCTGAGCTATTGTCTGGAAACAATGGGCAACTGCTATAGTTGTGGACTACAGCTTCTACTTCTTGTTTGTCCTATCTTGGGTGCAGGTTATGGTTTACAGAACTATTATGTATGCTTATAAATATAAAATGTATCACCTTTTTGTTCATTGTTATTATTATCAAGACCAACATTAACAAAAATAAACTATTGTCAGATATCCAAGATTGACCCAAGACTGCATTTCTGACAAACTCCTCTTTTGCTCCGACCATAGTCTTTTTAGTTGCATCCAGTAATGAACTGTTCAAACATGATTATTGTAATAAAGATACACAGGCGTTCAGCTGTCTCGCTACACTGTGTGTATCTAGAAAAAAACTGTCTGAGAAAAATGTTTATAGCCAAGAAATTGGTGATGAGGGTCAGTTACCTTAATTGGGCTGCTTAAATCTGATATTTTCGATACTGGCATCATGCCTTGTCAAGTGTTACCTGCCTTTGTGGAAAGATGTATGCAACATAAAATGTTTAAAAAAAAACAAGTCTTTTGAGCCTCAGGCTGTGTCTGCTGAGGTGCCCTCTAGCTGAAGATTTTATTAACATTTTACGTTTTCATTTTAAGTCTTTTACCTTGCTGTAATGTACCATTGCGTAGCAGCTCAAAGATTAACACATATGCTGCTACCAGCTAAGAAAGCATCAACCTAACCCCATGTAGCTGTAACTGTTCCAACCACATGATTAGTGCAGTTCAGCACTATTATCATCATCATTGGCCCTTTGTGCAGTTTAAACTAAAAATGGAATCAGAATTGTAAACACTTAATTTTTATTTCATTTTCAACCATTGAGTTAAAAAAACAACAACAACAAAAAACAATCTGCAGCTATTGTTGCATGTTGTCTGTAAAAGTTCTTAAATTCTGTTAAGAATTTCAAATGCTAAGGCTTTTTGAAATTTAAAATGTCAGTGTGTGCAGTGACAAAGTGTTTAAGCTAAAATATTATGCATGTCCTAATGAGACATTTATTCATGTTGAATATTACGCTGTTTTTATTCTTCGTCATAATTCACATTTCCTTCAGTGCTGGTGTAGGTCTCCCTGACCAGATTTTGTCTAGTCTTCTCATAAGCTTTTGAGAGTCATTTAATACCATGTAAACTCGCCGGGAACTGTACGGGCTATAGGTCACACTGAAGGTGGGAAAACTTTTGAAATTGTTTACTGTGGTCTAACATCACAAAACCCTGGGTTAACATGGGTGTGCACACTTTTTACATCCACCGTATATATAGCCAATCTGTATCTTGGGCCGTTTCTCCCATTCTTCTAAATTCTTTCTGGATACAAAGTACATAAGCAATTCAGAAAATGTCACTGCCAAGAGAACAGCAACATACTTGTAGTTATGATTGTTGCTGCAATAGTATTAGTACTACTACTCCTTTCAGCTGTTTCCTTTAGGGGTCGCCACAGCAGATCATCTGCCTCCATCTCATCCTACCCCTAGCATCCTCAATTATCCTTGTCAGCCAATCACAAAATTATATGGCAACTAGTGCTGTTCGATATAACGATATATATCGGATGATGATATAAAAACATCTATTGTTTCATTTTACACTATCGTTTGTTTCTGTTTACGGCAATATTTTTTCATCGTTTTGATGGTCACTGTAGTGGCTATATTAATTTCTTAAGTTCTCTCTTTCTCTTATATTTAATATAACCACACTACGGACGGACAAGCGCCTGTTTTTATGCATTGTCGTTAGCAACAATGACGGTAAAACAATTGCGTGTCCGCTTGTTTATTTTCCACATAAACCTTTGACAATAAAGCTCAAGATCCTGTTGAGACTTTTCAAAATAAACTGAACGACGTGAAAGAGTATGCAGAGTATTTAAGGATGAGAAGCAAAAAAGAGCCGCCAGGTGCTAAAAAATAAACCTTAGACTCAAACGTTAGAACATGCTTTTCCCCGCAGCACGCCGTGTAATAAATACTCACGAAGAAAACGGCGGCCACTACAATTTATGTCTAAAAATGTATCGTTTCATGCATCGGTTAAAACACTCGACTCCAGGTACACGATGCCCAGCTGGAAACACTTCACGTAAGTCGAGCTGCCCGAGATTCACAGAATTTACAGAAAATGTTACATTTTTGTGATTTATATCGTTATCGGGACGATAGATGTCTTATATCGGGATATGAGATTTTGGTCATATTGCACATCCCTAATGGCAACACAAATAAAAGTGGAAAGTTATGGGAGTGTTGTCAACAGTGAGAACAGCTATATCACCATGTGTAAGCCTGTATATCACCATCGCAAACAAAAAGCCTCTCTGAGCTGATCCCTGATGTAATCCCACTCCCACATTGAACACATCTGTCACACCTACCACACACCTCACTATTGGCTTTCTGTCCTCCCTTGTTCTGCACCACACTGACATACTGCTCTGTCACTCCTGACTTCCTGATATATTACCACAGTACCACACCTGTGGAACTATGCTCTCTCTAGATCCACAAAGATATAGTCTATCTCCTTTTGACCTTCTCTATAGTTCTCCATCATCACTTTAAACCTAAACACCACATCTGTAGTTAGGAATGGGAATTGATCAATTCAAATCCCCATTCCAATTCCATTATAAACATCACTTATTGATTCAATTTCTTATTGATTCTCATTGGCTCCATTTTGACAGTAACCACCAGTGCTAAGCAGTAATAGAAAAAATTACATTACATGCAAATTGCATCTTTTCGGTCAAATGTTTGTGCATGTTTGTTAGGGTAGCACCCTTCTTTGATTTGATCAGTGTTTGAGTCGTTACTCCAAGTAGTAATTATTGCACATATTACACAGAAAACTTTTCTTAAAAGTAATGCAGTACGTTACTTAATTACTAAGATCTTTCTCTTAGTACAATACAAAGCTGACTGCAGAAAGCAAAGACGCAAAGTGATTCCGCATTAGAAACATGAACAGCTAGAAAAGGAGGCTGCAGCCTAACTGTTCATCTGTTTGTTACCTATAGAAGTTAGGGGTCTTGCTGCTGGGATCGGCATTCACTCAGCTTTAGCATTGGGTTCTTGGCTAGCTTAGCATTACTATGTTGTCTGTGCAGATACATGCAAAGAACTAAAGTTGCAGCCTAATGCATTCGTTTCTGTCCTGGATGCAGTTTTCCACTTTATCACTGTGCTCTCGTCCTTAAGTGCAATAAAAATAAATGTCCATATCCACTGCATTGCTATTTTCCTCCTCAATCACCTGATTGTCACGCAAGCACAAAAACCAATAAGCAGAATCAATAGGCAGGCAGACCAACGATTCCAAGGAATTGGACTACCAGGAAACGGTTTTCTAAAAAGAGTAGGTTCTTGATTCCCTGGAGGGAAAATAATTCTGACAGTATATAGCAGTATACAGCAGGTAAAATAAGTTTTGAACACATTGCTAATTTTCTAAGTAAATATACACGTTTCTAAAGGTGATATTGATTTGAAATTCTCACTAGATGTTGATAACAACCCATCCAATCCACACATGTAAAGAAATCAAACTGATAAATTATGTCCAATAATTAGAAATAGGGCTGGGTCACATCATACCATTCACGGTAATACCGGTGTAATGTTAGGCAATGATAAGAAAATGAAATATCGCGACAGAATATGGGTAAAACGCACATGCGCAGTGCCTTTGTTTTCATTAGCACATAGCGGAAAAAGCATGGCGGCGATGGAGAATGAGAAGGGCGAAAGCGGATCGTTGAATGAAACAGATGAACCAGAATTGGTTTGTAAACATGCTGCAACTTCAGTGGAGCTGGTTTGGCTTTCGTCCGTCAGATACACACCAAAGCATATTTTTTGGTAGAGCATGCTAGCGGGCCGTCGTTATTACCGAACCGATTTTATGTGCTAAACGGCGCTCAAAAATCTGTCAAATGTTTTAGTACAACTTTGCTAAGCTACGAAGCCGCACCGCTTGATGGATTGTCAGAGCACTACGGCTATCGTAGGCAGGAGCCTCGCGGAGAAATACGTACTGTGCTTCAACATAATGTTACCGTATTGTGTGTGTATAACCTCTTTTTAAGTTTTGTGGATATTATACATGGTTATGCTGAGGATATGTCGGCCAATTTCCACTGAAAATGCCTTTTGGTTAAACTGTCAGCAGGGAATTTGCATTTGCACTGTAAAAATTGTATATAGCTTTAATGCACATAAAAAACAGCTGCTTGTTTAAGTCAAAATACATTATTAGTGCAAAAAAACCCATCAAAGTTGTGAAGTTGTAAAGTATTTTGTCTTGCGTCAATTATATCGTCAGTTATATCGTTATCTCTATCAGTTATATCGTTATCAAATATATATATTGTGATAAATATTTTTGGCCATATTCCCCTGCCCTAATTAGAAATGACACAAGGAAAATGTATTGAAAAAATAAACAGGAAAATGGAAAGTCATTAAACCAGCTAAAATCTATTAATAATTAGAAAACAGTCCTGTCACTTAGCGCAAATTATATAATCTAGTTTACTACTGACGGCCTATATAAAGGTGTCTCATTACCAAAGCGTCACACAAGAAACTTCTCATTATGAGTAAACCAGTGAGCTCTCTCAAGACCTTCACAACCTTATTATTGCAAAACATACTGATGGCATTAGTTACTAAAGAATTTCTAAGCTAGTAAAGGTCCCAGTGTGCACTGTTAGTGCCATAATCCGGAAG